GGGGAGGGGGAGGGGGAGCCGAGGGGCAGTGCAGGAACGGAGGTGGGCTCGGTGAGCGGACACAGGAGGAATTCCAGAGTCAGAAAGAAGAAGGCAAAGCAGGGGGGGGCATTGAAGTAGACAGTAGCAGAGAGGCAGATGATAGGTGACAAGGGTCGAACACAGTTGTGGGCAGTGTTTCTCACAAAATCTTGCGCCGTCTGAGGTACGCTAGGAGCGCAAAAAAGAGCACAATACATCCAATCACGATCCCCCCTGCAGTGACCCAGAAAGCAAAAACGTGTTCTTCAAGATAGGACCGAAGATTCATTCCAAAGATCCCAGCAATCATTGCCCCAATCGCCGCTGCAAAAGTTGCAATTGCTAACATGAGTTCAAATCGACTAACTTCCAATCGCCTTGAACTCAGATTCACAGCTATGGAGTCCTCCATTTCCTTTGCTGATTCCAGAAGCTTCTCAGATTGCCCATGGCACAGATCCACACGCTGAAGGTAATACTCCAACAGCATTTCCACCTCCTCCTCCTCCTCCTCCACGTCATCTCGCTCCTTTCCCGTCTCACATACCAAGACGCCATGCCGAAAATCACAGTGATGGCCCATTGCCGATATCCGCCGGATATCATTTGGCGTCTCCAAAATTTCGAGAAGCATTTGGCGCAGAGCGCCGGCTTTGCTTCCCAGTTCCACCAGCGCTTGCTTGCTTATCCGCAATTCCTCTAGAGCATCCGGTGCCACCTTGTTCGGCAGAACTGCGAGGAGTGAGCGAACACGCGGCTCGACCTGGTTGAGAGCGTTCTCCAGACGCTGTTCGCGAGAGATCAGGGCAGATTCTAGCACCTCCAGCTCGAAAGGCATGCCCAAACTGCCGTTGCTATTTGCCGCTTGCAGGCGGTGAAGTAACACATCCAGAAAACCGCGTGCGCCAATGCTAGATTCGTCGAATACAAGGACATTCTCGGGTGTGACAATAGCCCGCAACGAGCCCAAGTTCATCAGGATCGCATGATCTCTGACAAGAAGGGCAGGAAGTGCATTGGTCACCCACAGAGACGGGTCGATGCGACGCAGATCTCTTGGTCGCAGACCGCTACTCTTTAACAGCTGCCGACGCGTCACATGCTTCTTGAAAACCTCTCCCGTAGGAACGACTTCGAGTACCTGGTACACCAGCTCTTTCGCTGCAGGGGAAAGCACTTCACCAGACCGCCTTTGCAAAGCCGATGACATCAACACAGACTCCGGAGATGTTGGTCTATCGTCAGAATCCGTGTCGGTGTCAGACCGAGTACGCACATCAGAATCAGAGTCGTCTTCAGCCGATCCATCAGCCCCATCATCTCTGTAACCACCATCATCAACAGCGTCACGTTGATCGGCTGCCATATCTGAAGCGGAGGACTCCACCCCTTTCTCCATCACCCATCTACGATCCTCACTACCGACACCATCGACATCACGGTTAACACCCATGTGTAGTCCATTCGATTCACCGTGCAGAGCCACGGCTATTGCTGCAGCTACCTGCTCACCGCTCCAATCATCTGCTCCCGCACTTCCCGCTTCTCTCTCATCAACATCATCCGCCAATGAGCACGATGCGGATGACGTCAGATCCTCGTGTGATCCCATAGATACACTTCTTTGCCGCCACTGACGCAGAAGCCCCATCGAGTCAGAGATCTCTACCGGCACTCGTCTGCCTTCACTGAAGAGCGCATGGCAGCGGGAACCATATCCCAGTGCAAACTTCTTCCCCAAGTTTTGGAAAACCGTCTGCTCCCTAATCATGGAGAGCCCTGAGCCCTTTGCCCAGCTGCCACCAGCACCTGCAATAGCACCGCTTCAATCATCATCTGAAAACCGATGGACCCCTCAGGGTACCACTACAAAAGAAAGCTCAGTGCGAGGAATGAGCCCTCGCGGGGCCTTTGTCAAGCATGCACATGTTCTGGGCAGAGGCCCCCAGCAAGCCAAGTGCCCGCCCTAAGTGAAGGCGGACCTGAATATTCACGAAAGGCCAAAATTCGACATTTTGCATATGTGGATACTCAGGCTGTTGCAGCCCGCCAGTTGGTTGAGTGGACACGTGAACCTCCCTAAGCTGCGTCGTGCAGTTTGGCCCAGGCCTTGGCTGTTGCGCCTGGGCACATACACACAATGCAGGGCCAATACATCATGAAGTGGCCACAGGGCTACACAAAAGCAGCATTGTCGACGTACATACCCCGGGTCCTGTGCAAATGCAGCAAACGGCCCTAGTCTGGAGACTCAGGCCGTGCCCAACTGTAAAGGGCCCAGGCCCTCAACTGTAGCACTGGGCCTGGGCGCAGGTACTGGGGCCCAACCGGAAGCTACTGGAAGCTTCCAGCCAGGCCACACGCAGCCAAGAAGAGGCTGCCACTTCCATATAGGAAGGAAGGAAGCCAGGGTCTGGCATTCTGGCCCACGCAGGCAATGCGGTCACGCTGCTGTGCTGCTTGAGAGGCGCGCGAGAGGTGAGAGGGGCGCTGCTGGGCAGCGGAGCGCTGGCAGCCATAGCCGGGCTGCAAGGCGCTAGGGGGTAAGAGCGCGATCGGTGGTCTTCAGGAAGGAGGCGAGTGTGGGTGGACAGGGTCTGATGAGGAGAGACGAGATACGTACTTTGTACATGAGGGAGGTCGGCTATGGTGTTGACGTAACGTACATTGGTCTTCGAGAATCGAAGTGAGCCTGCTGTGAGAATGCTGATGTAGGTAGGAAAGTCAAGTAGTGTAGGCTGGGCGCTGGGCGCCGGACAGAGAGGAGCGACTTTGGATACTGTGTTGGTGTGGCCTGAGGGCTTGAACATTGGCTCATTACTTCATTGTATATTGCTCTTATTTGGATGGATTCTCGGCGCATTTGTGCTCTCTGCTTGTACACGACTACTTGGACATCTGTGTGATTTCGCAACTTGGCTTTTTGTAAGTTGTTCCCAACTTCCCACTCATATTCTTTGCATCAGTGTGCTCTACTGCGTAAGATTTCTTCTTTACTGGCTGGAGCTTATTGTCCACGAAAGAAGAAATCTTGCGCAGTAGAGTACAGGATAATCACCTGCAAATTCTGAAATAGCACCCCTCAGAGATAACAGCAGCAGTGAGCTGGAAACCAAATCACCAACCAGTGGCAACCACACAATAGAAGATGCTCATCCCCCGCCCCCGTACAAAAAAAGCAGCTGTCTGTTCGATAACAGTGAAAGGAAACTGGGCATGGCGCCCTGAAAACCGTTGTGAGCGGATGATGACGCACGAGCAGCATGAGCTTTCATGGCAGCTGTCTTCAGAGAGTGGCAGCAGGGCTGGGTCTGCTGATCGGTCTTACCGTGTGCTGCCCAGCCACCATGATTTTGTGAACACCACCACCAAGTCAGCTACACACACTTGTTCTGTGTCCTTCCCAATGATACACACCAATACCTCCAACCCTGTCTTGTCAAACCTGTTCTGCTTGACATCGGAGGTACAACAGTTGGACCTGTCGGTAAAGACCAAAGAGAAAACGACTATAGGACAACTATAGGGTAGCAGTTCGCCGCGCTTTGCAGCAGCAATATAAACACTTAACTGCAACAGGTTTGTGTGTTGGTGTGGAGCCATTCGCCCTTCCTGTCTCATGGTACAAATCACTCAGAAAAAACTGCTGTTTCAGGCTCCGCGGCAGGGTTGGAATTGATGTGTTACACCCAAGAGTCCCATCAAGAGCCCCACCTAGGGTCCTGCCAAGAGTCCCACCAAGAGCCCCACCTGGAGTCCCAGCAAGAGCCCCACCTAGAGTCCAACCTGGAGTCCCACCAAGAGCCCCCACCAAGAGCCCCACCCAGAATTCCACCTGCAGTCCCAACAAGAGCCCCACCAAGAGCCCCACCAAGAGCCCCACCAAGAGCCCTACCTAGAGTCCCACCTAGAGTGCCACCTAGAGTCCCACCAAGAGTCCACCTAGAGTACCACCTAGAGTCCCAC